TGTGTATTTTAATAATTTTATATTTAAGAACTTGGTTTAATAACATACCATTGCAGCTGCCCTAATAATCGTTATGGTAAGAATTAAGAAACGAAAGGGAAGTGAGGGGTCCACTTGGGCAAGTGGGAAGAAGGCAACTAGCATGAGTGTGGTCACTATCACTCTGTCTTTAACTAAAACCCAAGTCTTTAATCAGTACTGTGGGGTCCTTTTTCTTCATAGATGAGTGATTAAGGCTTGATTAACGTGTGATTTACGGTGGTTATTTGAATGGTAAAGAGAAAAACAGAGCGATTAATAATAATAAAAAGTCAATATAGTTGATTTTCGGTAGAGAAAAACCAAAGTTGTCAAAAGCTGATTGGGCAACAAGAAGATACGATAAAACTAATTAAAAGCATATTTTTATAGATCTTGAAAGAAAGTCAAGTCACGTGTACGTAGACCCTCTTTCCATTTCTCCTGACAATTTTATTAATTACTCTTATCTCCTTGTCGAATAAAGTTGTAAAGACTATCACGAAAATAAATCTTCGTCCCCATACTATATCCTTATTTAAAAATATAATAATAATTACTAGTATAGATAATAGATCTATAAATATTTAGAGATTTTTTAAGATGTTTTATACCAATTTTTATTTTGGTGTAAAATGCTCTCCAACTTAACAACATTTTGGTGTTGAATTTTTTTATTTATTAAAAGATTCTTCAATATTTTAAAATTAATGAAAAACATATACGAATTGTAATGGTTAAACCCAAAATTAATATATTTGGTGGTAATTAAACAAAATTTTAATATATTATTATGTCACGTTAGTAATGTTACAATTTTAATATATAAGGATTGTGGGGTTAATTTGTAAATTTTAAAAAAATTGAGGAAAAAATATGTTCAAAATATTTTCTATTTTATGTAAAAAATGGTATAATACATTGAAGAAAAACTCAACGTTATTTTACTTGTTATACTATTTTAATGCAAAAAATGGTGTAAAATTTATTAGAAATGCTCTTAGAAATATATATATTTTTTAATCTTATTAAAAGGTTGGGATACATCATATCAGATTCGAATCTACGTTGATATAACTTTGCATTCTTGTATGACTGATTGATTTATCGTTATTGGTATTTATCTTTTATCTGTATGAAATTGAAAGAAAGAAAAAGAATATTATTATTGAGTTTGAAATAAATAAATATTATACGTGGTGGAACCTGGTAGGGGAAGTGAGCACGTGTGTTGACTTCCAAGTAAACGGTTCCAAACGACTTTTGTTTCCTCGTCGAAAGAAATTAGTGCAATTTTTTTAATTTGTTTTTTTCTTCCTAAGGGTCTAACTTTGATTATATTAAAGGTTATATAGTAGTATATATTTAATCATGTCCAGATTCGACGTATACAATTTTTAGAAAGTTGGAGAAACTGGTAGAATAATTTATATGCTAAATCAAAAATCATATACAATTTCGTTATTTCTCGAGAAGTCAGCCCATCCGACCAAAAGGAATCATTTATACTACTAAATGGGCTTTTTGGCCCATTATGCCTCACTGCTTAATCAGATTATCGAGAAAAAATATCTTCCACGAACCCTAGCTTTATTTCCCAGGAAAATGGAGAGATCTTTTGTATGGATACAGAGAATCACGCTGATAAATTGAAAAGAGTGTCAAATTATTATCCAGAATCCTTTATCAACCCTTTTTCTTGTTTCTCGATTCGATCTCTTAAATCTTGAGATTTTTGCTGGAGAATTTCTTCGTGTCTGAAACTTCCTCGAGTGATCGAATTCGCGACGGTGAGCGACCCATCCTTTCGATTCTTCTGGGATCAGTCATCTTCTTCCTATTTTTCGTTGAAATCATTACTTGATACGATTGGGATACGTTTGCTTGTGTTAATTTCTGGAAATCGAATCATTTTTGTCTTTCTTTCTTCAGGAGTTAAGCTCCATGGATACGGAACTAAACTCGCCGCCGCATGATGGTGGTGAAACCACGGACGCTTTTCGGAAGCCCTCCAACGATGGGTCTTGCAGAAAGTATCGCCGCCGAGCTTTAGCTGACAATTTGTCATCTTCATCTGATGGTTAGTTTGCATCCCAAAACTCTCAACCGCTTAGTATAGAATGTAACATTAGCGTTTCCGATTGGTTATAGCATTTTAGGTGATGGGTTTTATATGAAATACGCTTAGGTGTTCTTTTTTTTGATTGATTCATGTGTTATGCATCTTAGTTATTCAATTTCTGCAGCCACTAAAGAGTGTGGCTTTTCGATTTCGTATCCTCTACTTTCAGTACTAGCCATAGCTGAGTTTAGAGTTGTTGGTTCTTGTTTTGTAGGTAGTCAGGAACGTAATCAGAGCCCTAATAATGCAAAGCATTCTAAGGGAGATATTAGGAAAGTTTCTGAACCAGGTTATGCGAGGAAAGATGATAGGCGGGAATATGATCGCAGTCGCTATGGTAGAGGGGGCATTGATTCACATAGACATGATAGGTACTCTAGGGATGATAACTATGGATCAAAGCGTGATGAGTATAACAGTCATGAGAGGGATGCACCTCGCTCTAGCCGTGATTCAAGGGGTGGTCATCATTCTGACCATAGAAGAGTAGAGAGTGAACATAGCAGGTCAAGAAATGATTCAGACAGACATTCCCGTGATAAGTATAGCAATTCTGGACATAGAACCAATAGTAACGAGAAAGGTGAAGATTTTTCATCTGATAGAGCGGTATCTGGTAGGAGACACGCAGACTCCAGAGTGGAAGATAAAGAGAAGGATTATGTGCGGGGCAGAGATCATCAAGACGAGAAAAGAGGTTCACGCTGGACTTTTGGTGACCGCCATTCCCGTGCTGAAAAGGAATATGAGGACCCTGAGATTAACAAGGAGAAAGAGATTCATGTCAAATCTCCGAGAGACCGTTCTGAAGGAAATTTTGCAACTGAGAATCGAGATACTCATTCCAAGAAACTGAAGGGGTTCATTTCAGAGAAGTTTACCCATGGCAATACCACTGGTAAGTATTTCGTTTCTCTTGTCTTCAAGTACTTTCCCTTCTGTGTTTTATAGTACCAAGCTCTAAGTTATAGTGCTGCAGCAGAAGAGAAACAGACATCGAGGTTTAAGCCAGCACTTGGTGCTAATCAGGGTTTGTCACTGCAATCTCATTCAAAAGAAGATGAAGTTTCTGGTGATGTCGATGCTGCAAAAGTTGCAGCTATGCAGGCTGCTGAATTAGGTAATGCTGTTATGATTCACTCTAAATCTTCTGGGATTTTGCTCTTCATTCAATTGCCGCCATTTTTAAATTGATTTGTTGCTATTTTCATGTACTATGTTCTTGCCTTCTTGATTGGACTCGCGCTTTATTGTAAAGATATGGCGTCTATTGAAAATGCTTTTACAGAAGTCTACTCATATCTGCTTTTGTTTAAGCGTTAGCTAAAACTGTTTTTTCCCTCTATGAATCTAGTGAATAAAAACCTTGTTGGAACGGGTTACCTGACCACAGATCAAAAGAAGAAGTTATTGTGGGGAAAGAAGAAAAGCACGGCTACAGAAGAGGTATCGTAAATGACCCTTGGATATGTAAATCTATATATAGCGACATAAACTCTCTTTCTTTCTTTTTTTCCCTTGGAACCAGCCTGCTCATCGTTGGGATAGTGCACTGATTGGTGACCGTGAACGACAAGAAAAGTTCAACAAACTTATGGTAAATCTTGTCCTACCTACATGTTTCGCTTCCATTGATTGTTTTTATATCTCTAGCGATCATCATAACATAGGGCATGATTCAAGAATTTTGCAAAGTTTCATATCAACAAATTGCATAGAGTTGGTTGTGTATAAAGTAATACTAACACATTTTCAGAGTCTGAGGTTGCGTTGGTGCATCATTGTAGGGTGTGAAAGGGAGTATAGTAAACCAAGAGCAGAACCCGAACGAAGTCCAAGTCGAGAAGCAGAAAGAATTGCAGATGGATCTAGAGAAGCAGTACACCGCGGGATTAAGGAGGAGAGACGGACGTACGGTAGGGTTAGGTCTTTGAACCTCGTTGGTAAATTATTCTCGTACTCTTATCTCCTTCTAAGGACTCTTGTAGCATCTCCTTTTTGTACTCTACTATTACTCATACCAAAGCTCGTAATAACGATGATCTCCATGTGTGTAAGAAATAAATCTAGTAAACTTCTCTTGGTTCTTGTCCAGATTTTACATCCCTGGTCGTGATTATCAACTACTTGTTACAATCAAGTTTTTTTCTTCTAAAACTCAAAAATGAAGTTTACCGTTAGAGGTTGGGATTTATGTTAAACTTTCAAGTTTCAAAGTAGCTTGTTAGTTGTTACCATTAGAGTTTGGGATTCATGTTAAACTTTCGCTCTAATATTCTGTAAATAAATGTTGTCCAACAAAAATTGAAAAATACAAGTCTAAGCTTTGTTACTAAAACTCGCAGAGACAAATACTAAAATTGAGATATATAACGTCAAATGTAAACCTCGATCAGTTTGATATAGAAATGAGTGAGTAATTGATCTAAAAAGATTGTGGTTTTAGATTATTTTTGTAATTGAATTACGCATTACAATTTTGTTTTAATTAATTAATTGCACCGGCCAGGCGGCCAGAGAGTAGCCAACCTATAAGAAAGCTTCTGGAAAATTTATTAAATATTTTTTGTTTTCTGTGGATTTTATTGGTCAATTTGAGTTGTTATTTTGCCAACTAGAAATATGATTTAATTTCTGAATTGTTGCTTGAATTCCTGTAAAAGGTTTTGTTGTTACATCGATCTCGGAATCAATCATTGATACGTGAACGATTTTGCTCACCGATTGTTGCCTCGTCGCCTTCTCTTCACCGGACGAAGATGAACGGCGGTCCCTCCGGTTTCCGTACGTTATCGGAACCACCGTCCTCTATCGCTTTGATCAGTTTCTTCTCTGTGATTTTCACTCGTGCTGCTTCCTGATTTCTATTTCGATTTCTTAGTGTTGAATTTCTCGACGTTGCAGATAATGCTCCGGTAACGAAAGCCTTTGTCATCACGAGCGCCCTTTTCACTGTCTTCTTCGGGATCCAGGGTCGTTCTTCTAAGCTCGGTTTGTCTTACCAGGTATTCGCATTTGGTGTGGTTTTAGATTTGGGTTTTTTTCATGGATTTACTTCAGAATTTGCTGGGTGAACTAAAATCCGATTCTCGGTCTAAATTTTGTTCGAATTTGATATTCGAGAACAATAAGCTTTTTGGGTACTTAATGTTGTGCTGTATTACTGTTTTCAAGATACCAAACATTGGCACTAGAAATGATATTCGTTTGGCTTATTGATGTAGGCAATCTTTCGTTTCCTGTGGGGTTTAGACAATGTAGCTTGTAAGCATTTATCTTTATAATCTTGGTTTGCTTTATTGAAATGAGAAATGTTTGGTTCTTGGAAACTTGCCATCATCATTTTGTTAGTTTCTACTTTGATTTTAGTCAGCTGTGTGGCACTGAATAGTAGATGACATGCCTAAGCAGGTTTAGACTCTTAATGTTTGACCGTCAAGTCTTAAGTAGTTCGATATCCTGCGTCTGATCATCTGTTTGTGTATGCCAGTGACCCAGGCACCTGAAAGATGTTTGATTCTAGCTTTTGGGTTTAGGATTCAAATTTGTTTCAGGTTGTTATCGGATATCTCCAAGATACAATGTGTCTTTATACGCTTTTTCCAAACTATATGCAGGATATTTTTGAGAAGTTTCGGATATGGAAGTTAATCATGTCGACTTTTGCGTTCTCCTCCACACCAGAATTGATGTTCGGGTTGTATTTGTTATACTACTTCAGAGTTTTTGAGAGACAGATTGGCTCAAATAAGTACTCGGTAAGTGATACTCTCTCTTCGTCTCACAGATATATATTCTCATATGTTTTCTGTTTCTTTTTCCGCTTGGTAAACTGGTTACTTGACTGGTGATTATTCCTTCAAGTTTTTTAAATTTTACTATTTTCTTCTGCTTACAAAAGGTTAATCAGATAGTGTTCCTGTTGCAGGTTTTTATCTTGTTCTCAGGGACTGTATCTTTACTACTTGAGGTCATTTTGTTATCACTGCTTAAAGGTACCCATCATTCAATTTCAGGAAAGCCTCTTCAAAGTTTACATCTTTGGCTTATTAGTTAGGATTTGCAACGATGGCACCAATTCAGGTTACTATAAGGATTATGGTTGTTAGTTCACTTAAATTAGCTCCATTACCATTCCTACAAAGCTGTGGAGGGAAAAATGCACAAGGAAGGATTGTGGTTGCTGAATTATATAATTTGGGAGCTTATGATTGATGATTAGATTACTGCAATGATCTTTATTTGTTTCAATATCCGTCCTGTTTTTCTTCGCTATAATTCTCATGAACATCTTTGACAGAGTGTTCTCTTGGTCCATGATTTAGAATTTTAGATTATGTGTTTCAGTTCATGGGTTTTTACTTTATGCGCTTCTGCTATGGATTTTATAAAAAAAATTTCATTTTGTAAAACTATACTTCACTAAGGAATACGTTGTACCTTGTATCAATTTATCTGTTTTTTTTTCCAGATGCCACAGCAAACTTACTGACCTCTGGACCATACGGCCTGATATTTGCTTCGTTTATACCCTTCTACTTGGACATTCCTGTTTCAACAAGGTTTCGTGTATTTGGTGTCAAATTCTCTGATAAGTCATTCATATATCTTGCAGGAGTTCAGGTAATCAATAACATAGGTTAACTGTATGATTCTTGTTGTATGAGTAGTGTCCTTAGTCTTAGATAGATAATCTTCGTGGTTTTCATTTTGCAGCTGCTACTATCTTCGTGGAAAAGATCCATTATTCCTGGAATTTGCGGCATAATTGCTGGTTCCTTGTATCGTCTGAATGTCCTTGGCATCCGCAAGGCAAAGGTTGTACCTCTCAGTCAAATTCTTGGCTTCTTAGTTTTCCAATGTCACTTGAATAACATTAAATTTATGTCTGAAAACATTACAGTTCCCCGAGTTTGTGGCTTCATTCTTTTCCCGCCTTTCTTTGCCGTCCTTCAGTAGCTTACCTCCGCCAGCACCAAGCAGGAATATCGTTGGGACTATAGCACCCAACACAGGTCGCCGAGTAGAGGCAAGTCTTTTCTTTTTCTCAGTACTATCTGTTTTGCCCAACTCTTAATGTCATCTAAAAAGCCTCTTTATTTACAGAGATCTCAGCCAGCTCCAATGGCTTCAAGTGTGGAGCCATCTGAGGAAGCCATAGCTACATTGGTATCAATGGGCTTTGACAGAAACGCAGCGAGACAGGCGCTCGTGCACGCCAGAAATGATGTCAACGCCGCCACAAACATCCTTCTTGAAGCACAATCCCACTAACTCAAAAAGGGGTTTACTCTGAATGGGAAGAATCAGAAACATTGATGATTTCAGATTCCGACACAACACCATAATTATTCTGCTGCCGTTGGACCAAGCTTTGGAGCCAACATGTCTCAACATACAAAGACCTGACCAACTTTCTCTCTTTCCATTTGTAGTTTAGGATGATCTGCATAGGTTATGTAGCACAGATTTGCGAAGTAGAGAGAAACACTGCGAAAGCTCATTTATTTGAAACTTTCGAGACTTTAAACATCACAAATCTTATCACATCTGTTCTTATAAAACCCATTTACACAAGAACCGCCTCTAAGCGAACAAAAACCCTGAATAACTCCGCTACTCTGATTTAAGCTCTGCACCAGTTTGAGTAGACTTTAACTTGCTTCTTTTCTTTCATCCTTAGTGTACACTGGTATTTCCCAATTCTTACTCTTTTTGGGATCATCAGTTAAGGTGAGATCCATATCGTACTCTTTAAACGTTTTGAAGAATGTTTTGGCTCCCATAAATACCAGTCTCTCCACCATGAATAACTGATAATTATTCTTGATTATCGGATCCAAAATCTCGCTGAAATTCGATGAGTAAGCCAGTTTGTACCTGCAGTATAAGCAAATGCAACAATATTATACAAATGAGTCAAATGTCAATGTATAAACTTGCACACCTTAACTTGTAATGGAAACATCTAAAAACTGAGTCTTAACCTTAAAGAAGACTTTACAAGAATCTGATAAAGAGTAATTTACCTGACGGCGAGCGGAGAGAAAAATCCAGGCGTTCTCTCATTAGAACCGATAAAAAGAGTCCTCCCTGGTGGGACTCGCTTCTCTATCCTGTGAAGGATAAACTCCGGACGAGTGTCTCTGTCTAGATGAGGAAACTGAATCCTTTCAACTCCGAATCTGTCTTTTCTGGTTTTCAGTTTGTCCCCTCGACGAACGTGGATGGCATCATAATCACCGAGTTGTGCTTTTATCTGTAACAACACCAAAAACTTATTCAAGCTTAAGGCTTCACCTCAAAAGAACAACGATTGGTCTCTAAGCTTAATTTTCAACAATACCTTTTCTGCGGCGTTTCTCAAATTTGCAGCTGCCATATTAGGGAGAAATGAATAAGGAAGCATCACTGCACTACGATTGCCTCTATCTTTGCACTCAACAAACCTACACCCAAATTATCAACAATCTCAAAGGAAAGGGATTATAAATAGCTTAGAGGAGAATAAGAGAAAAAGTTATTGTATACACAATTTCATCAGCTTGGTCATGATCTGATCTCAGATATGCAAGTCCCTAAAAACCCCAACAAAAAGAGTCAAAAAGGAAGTGATTACCATGCAAGAGGACTTGCGGTTCGGTTAATGATCAAGAGACTGGAGTAATGACTCTCTTTTAGCCTATGGCGACTGACTCCATAAACATGCGCAATACCTCTTTCTTCCAACTTCATACTTGTGGATAGAACAATATGCCATGTTTTGGAGTCGTCTAATATCACCGGTATCTTCTCAGATATGAGATCAATGTCATACAAGGAGTCCATTGCACATGAGCTCCCTACCCAACTAAGAAAATCCAAAAGTAATCCTTGTGTTAAAGAGACATACTCCAAACATTCCCCAAAGTTGCAATAGGCAATTACAGAACTCACCCTTCCTCTGTAGTTTTGTTATCAGATCGATTCAGTATACCTTTCTTATTATGTATTGGATTGATACACATTCCAGAAGGCATTACAAATGTCCTGCAACAAGAAAAACTTCAGCATTTCCCTATAAATGCCTAAAGAACTCAACTAACTATCTCATTGGATCCAGAATTCGACAATTTCACAGCTTTAGTAATCTGCTAATGAAATTTCAATTTCAAACCCAGAGAGAGTAATCAAATTACCTGTTAAGAAACATGGCTTCTTCAAGAGCACACCTTAGGCTAGATTCTTGGTGACCCAAACCTGCACAAGTCTCGCAGTTTTTGCCAGGACAATCGATTCTGTCTCCCCAATACAGATACTTCTCCGACAACGTATGCTGTCTCTTACCGCGAGGAGACCTCACGAAATAATCGATTAGGGTTTGTTGATACGGCAAACCCAATTTCCCGGTGGAGATCACTGAAGAAAGCAGGAGGAGAAATGCGAAGACAACTATACATAACAGAACAAAACGCTGAGATCCAGGAGTGGGTTTCGTCCTTTGAGCTTTGATCGTTGTCGCCATTAAAGT